CTTTTACACACAAACGCTTTTACACAGACACTTTCGCACACAGACCATTTTACACACAGACACTTTTACACACAGACGCTTTTACACGCAGATGCTTTTGCACACAAAAGCTTTTACACACAGAGGCTTTTACGCGCAGACAACTTTACACACAGACGCTTTTACACACAGACGCTTTTACATACAGAAGCTTTTACACACAGAGGCTTTAAAAACAGAAGCTTTTACACACAGAAGCTTTTACACACAGAGACCGGACCCGTGAAATCGCAATTTTTCCTCAGTTTTTGACGTCCAACGTGCATTTCGTGCGAAAGGGTTGCCCGTGACACCTCAAAATCGCAATTTTACCTCAGTTTTTGACGTCCAACGTCCATTTCGTGCGAAAGGGTTGCGATGGACTAACTAGAATCGCAATTTTTCCTCAGTTTTTGACGTCCAACGTCCATTTCGTGCGAAAGGGTTGCGATGGACTAACTAGAATCGCATTTTTTCCTCAGTTTTTGACGTTCAACGTCCATTTCGTGCGAAAGGGTTGCATTTGACTAACTAACATCGCAATTTTTCCTCAGTTTTTGACGTCCAACGTCCATTTCGTGCGACAGGGTTGCGAGGGGACAAGTTAAATCGCAATTTTTCCTCAGTTTTTGACGTCCAACGTCCATTTCGTGCGACAGGGTTGCGAGGGGACAAGTTAAATCGCAATTTTACCTCAGTTTTGGACGTCCAACGTCCATTTCGTGCGAAAGGGTTGCGTTTCGTGGCGCTCCGGCGGCACCGCCCTCGCCTTAAGAGAGAGATAGAAAGAAGAGCGAGGGGAGATCTGCAGATGTGAAGGTGTGAAGATGTAGATCTGCAGATGTGAGGGTGTGAAGATGTAGATCAGCAGATGTGAGCGTGTGAAGATGTAGTGCGATCAGCAGATCAGCAGTGAGGGTGTGAAGATGTAGATCAGCAGATGTGAAGGTGTGAAGATGTAGATCAGCAGATGTGAGGGTGTGAAGATGTAGATCAGCAGATAGTGAAGGTGTGAAGATGTAGATCAGCAGATGTGAAGGTGTGAAGATGTAGATCAGCAGATGTGAAGGTGTGAAGATGTAGATCAGCAGATGTGAAGGTGTGAAGATGTATTACAACGGTTGCTTTTTTACGCAGAACCCTTCGCAGGCGCTCTCGGGAAAAAACTATTTTTCCGATCTCAAAATCAAAAAAAAAATCCTTATATAACGCAATTAAAATATTGCCAAAAAATTGGATTTCGACGCTTCCCCCTAATACTAAATTAAAACCATTAATAATAAAAACTAGTCTGTTCGATTTCAAAATCAATAAAATTTCCTTATATAACCCAAATAGAATATTGTCAAAAATTGGATTTCGAAGCTTCCCCCCAATACTAAATTAAAACCCTTAATAATAAAAACTACTTTGTTCGATCTCAAAATCAATGAAATTTCCTCATATAACGCAAATAAAACATTGCCAAAAATTGGATTTCGAAGCTTCCCCCTAAGAATAAACACCCCGCGTTTGACTAGTTTTTAGTATTAGGGGGGGAAACCCACAAATGGTAGCTTTATTTTTAAATTGTTTTCTAAAGGGGACCCATTAAAGGTCAAAGTGGCCAATCTGAAATTTCCAAAATTGGAGATGAACACTAGTTTTTAGTATTTGGGCGAGGTTTAGTAGTAGGAGGAAGGGATTAGTTGTTCTCTTGGGGTGGGTGTCCTTCCCAATCACGCACCCCAACCCCCTGACGTTTGTGCATTCCACCGTACAATCCACCCTAGAACACTAACTTAACAATTCGGGGATGAGCCCTTACGCAGGATTCAGCTCTGGCACCAACTCATTAACATAGCATCCGGTGCCGTTGAGCACCCCGGGGAAAAGGAATTAGGTAGATTTTGGGACCATTGGGCACCAACTCATTAACATAGCGCCCGGTGCCGTTGAGCTAATAATTTGCTTCCCCAGGAAATGGAGATCAAAAAATGGCGATGGGTGCTAACATGGCACCTGAAAAAGACTGAACTAGCTAGAATCCAGGAAGGCAGAAATGCTATGTTAGCATCAATTTGCTCAGAAAACATGTCCATACCCCTCACAGCACTATGAAAACTTGTTCTTGAACATGCTGTACAGCTGCTATGTTAGGTGCCCATTGTTTCCCCATAGCTCATTCCATTTGTTTGAACTGGCAAAGGTCTGGAGATGCTAAGCACATAATCCCTTCCTCCTAATACTAAACGTCCCCGCTAATAATAAACACGGCAGGTAGTTTTTAGTATTAGGGTGGTATTTATTTTGGGAACCCTATAAATAAAATTATACCCTGAAAAAAATGTTTTTCCGATCTCAAAATCAAAAAAATCCTTAAATATCGTAATTAAAATATGGCCAAAAATTGGATTTCGACGCTTCCCCCTAATACTAGATTAAAACCATTAATAATAAAAACTAGTCTGTTCGATTTCAAAATCAATAAAAATTCCTTATATAACCCAAATAGAATATTGCCAAAAATTGGATTTCGAAGCTTCCCCCCAATACTAAATTAAATCCCTTAATAATAAAAACTAGTTTGTTCGATCTCAAAATCAATTAAATTTCCTTATATAACGCAAATAAAATATTGCCAAAAATTGGATTGCGACGCTTCACCCTAATACTAAATTGAAACCCTTAATAATAAAACTATTTTTCCGATCTCAAAATCAATGAAATTTCCTTATATAACGCAATTAAAATATTGCCAAGAATTGGATCTCGACGCTTCACCCTAATACTAATTTAAAACCTTTAATAATAAAAACTAGTTTGTTCGATCTCAGAATCAATTAAATTTCCTTATATAACGCAATAAAATTATTGCCACAAATTGGATTTCGAAGCTTCCCCCCAATACTAATTAAAAACCTTTAGCAATAAAAACTAGTTTGTTCGATCTCAAAATCAATTAAATTTCCTTAAATAACGCCATGAAAATATTGCCAAAAATTGGATTTCGAAGCTTCCCCCCAATACTAAATTAAAACCCTTAATAATAAAACTATTTTTTCCGATCTCAAAATCAATTAAATTTCCTTATATAACGCAATTAAAATATTGCCAAGAATTGGATCTCGACGCTTCACCCTAATACTAAATTAAAACCTTTAATAATAACAACTACTCTGTTCGATTTCAAAATCAATGAAATTTCCTTATATAACGCAATTAAAATATTGCCAAAAATTGGATTTCGACGCTTCCCCCTAATACTAAATTAAAACAATTAATAATAAAAACTAGTCTGTTCGATTTCAAAATCAATAAAATTTCCTTATATAACCCAAATAAAATATTGCCAAAAATTGGATTTCGAAGCTTCCCCCCAATACTAAATTAAGACCCTTAATAATAAAACTATTTTTCCGATCTCAAAATCAATGAAATTTCCTCATATAACGCAAATAAAACATTGCCAAAAATTGGATTTCGAAGCTTCCCCCTAAGAATAAACACCCCGCGTTTGACTAGTTTTTAGTATTAGGGGGGAAAACCCACAAATGGTAGCTTTATTTTTAAATTGTTTTCTAAAGGGGACCCATTAAAAGTCAAAGTGGCCAATCTGAAATTTCCAAAATTGGAGATTAACACTAGTTTTTAGTATTTGGGCGGGGTTTAGTAATAGGAGGAAGGGATTAGTTGTTCTCTTCGGGTGGGTGTCCTTCCCAATCACGCACCCCAACCCCCTGACGTTTGTGCATTCCACCGTGCCTAGAATGCTGTTCGTTTGTGCATTCCCCTAGATGTGCATTCCACCCTAGAAAACTAACTTAACAATTCGGGGATGAGCCCTTACGCAGGATTCAGCTCTGGCACCAACTCATTAACATAGCATCCGGTGCCGTTGAGCACCCCGGGGAAAAGGAATTAGGTAGATTTTGGGACCATTGGGCACCAACTCATTAACATAGCACCCGGTGCCGTTGAGCTAATAATTTGCATTCCCCAGGAAATGGAGATCAAAAAATGGCGATGGGTGCTAACATGGCACCTGAAAAAGACTGACCTAGCTAGAATCCAGGAAGGATCAGGAAGGCAGAAATGCTATATTAGCATCAATTTGCTCAGAAAACATGTCCATACCCCTCACAGCACTATGAAAACTTGTTCTTGAACATGCTGTACAGCTGCTATGTTAGGTGCCCATTGTTTCCCCATAGCTAATTCCATTTGTTTGAACTGGCAAAGGTCTGGAGATGCTATGTTAAGCACATAGTTGTTCTTTTGGGGTGGATGTCCTTCCCAATCACGCACCCCACACCCCTGACGTTTGTGCATTCCACCCTAGAATGCTGTTCGTTTGTGCATTCCCCTAGATGCGCATTCCACCCTAGAAAACTAACTTAACAATTCGGGGATGAGCCCTTACGGAGCCGCGGCCGATGCCAGGTTAGCATCAATCTGACCACATGAAACTGATGTCGTGCAGCTGCTATGTCAGCTGTTTGCAACGAAAAAACCGAAAGCTAACATATTGCAAAAAACTTTTTTATTTTTTGCAACAAGATGGTTTTCACGAGAGTACTTTTTTCTTCTTCCTTTCTCTTTCCCCACCCTCTTTTTGCCTTCTCTCTCACTCCTTCTCTTGTATTCTGTCTTTCTGTTCTCCTTCCATTCTTTTTGACGAAAACAGGAAAAAGAGGCAGTTAGATTTTCCAAAGAAGAGAAAACGGTGATCTTTTTTCTGGCGTACCGGGTCAGGAATGGCTAACAAAATACAGTGGGACTTTTTTCCACCAAATTGAATTAAAAACTTGAAGGCGCCGTTCTTGTTTTCACACAAGCTGACATCAACGGCCCCAATTCTCCATTGACTCTGTTCTCTTACGTTCTCTTCTGGTCCTCATGATGAGCCTAACTAGGGCTTCCCTACCACGCGTGTCCTTGCCCATGGCCTACAAATCCCTACAATATCCATCGGCTTTTTCGTAGCTAAAAACATTGCCCGCCTCGCCATCATCAACAGCAGATGGCAAAGGTGCTGCTGTCTTGTCCTCCATCCCCGAAAACAGCGCCGTGACCTCTGGACAGTCCAACGGCCGTAGGGCATAGAGAAAGATGACGTGAGAAAACATGAGCAAATCAAGCAGAAAGACCAGGTAAGGTGGATCGACATCAATTCTATTCCTTGTCGTTTTGCAAAACACGCATCACAACATCCAATCCAGAAGAAACGTATTCACCTTGAACTCATTCAACTCACGATGCGGCATTTTTTCGAATTTCTTGTGATCTTTCTGATTGGTATCGTTTCTGCATCGGACTTGCTCCTGACTTGTCCAAACAAAGTTGCAGCCGCCGTGCGATGAGCGTACAGAGTATGAAACTATGATTGGCAAATTTCGCATTTTTATGTTTTTCCTCTTTGTTCTACAGTGCTCAACGGTCATTTGCACGAAACGGCGCTGTTTATCCAAAATTCCAATAATCTGATACTTGGGTGAAGATAACGGAACCCGGTGCCTGATCCTGACAACAAGAAAATCCCTGCGCCCGGGCCTGCTCCTCTATGGAAGCACGATCTGAAGCCACTGTGCAGTGCGCTGCTCTCACATCAAAAGTTGACATCTGCTCCAGCATCAACTGATGGCTGAGAAACTTTGCTCGAAAGCAGAAGAAGCTGGGTATAGAAACGGGCAAGTAAGAGATGCCCGAAAACATCCAAACGTCAAAACTAGATACGAATGATTCCATGACAGGATTGTGCCCGAATATAGATTCAGACATCTCAGGAATGTCGTGCATCCATGCTGCACTGTAGTTGGGAAAAAGGTGGACCATGATCTCCAATATGCCTGCACTTGACAGATCCAGGAGAATTGTGGACAGCAACCACGGAGCTAACCAAAGAGGCATCAACTCAACTTTATCAGTGCCCCCATAACGCGCGCACGTTGCCAACTCTAGATTGCACCAAAGCCTTTCAAAGTATGTCTGATCCCACAAAACCAGCATCTTGGAAGATTGCGCAACAAAGACTGGCAAAGCATTGATCTGCTCTTTCTTCTTGTCCATGTCTGTTTGATGTATACAGATCCGATCAAGCCAACACGTTGGCAACGAGCGGCCCAAGGGAAGTTCGTGTCCGAAGATCAGGACGATTGCGAAGGTGACCATTGGAAAACAGACCAAACAGGGAAAGAGCAGCATACTTCCGCCCAAGCCAGTCACTCCCATGGATCCCACCAGCAAGGCAACTACAACGAACCATGCTGTGAAGGAGCATACGATTGCGAACTGCAAGTTGAAATACCTAGTGACAACATTTGACAAGATCTATCAAAATAAATGAAAATGTATCAAAATGTGACAAAATGTGACAAAATGGAACAAACTGTATCAAAATGTGACAAAAGGTATCGAAATGTATCTGAATGTATCCAAATGTGACACAATGCATCAAACTGTGATTAAATGCATCAAAACCTACAAAAATTTGACAACATGTATCAAAATGTGAGATGACAATATGTGACAAAATGTATCAAAATGCATCAAAATGTGACACGCTGCATCAAAATGTGACAAAATGTATCAACATGTATCTGTGGTTCATGGAAGCCTCACGCACAAATCGAGAAGTGCATCACAGGGTTGTACAGATTGGCCCCTGCAAACATGACATGCACTAATCTCAAGATCTTTTGACTTTGGGCTCAAGAAAAATATCGCTTTGGGCGGTTTGCACTTTTCCCCTTTTTCAACCTTAGCATCAAAATGTGACAAAATGTATCAAAACATATCAAAATGTGACCAAATGTATCAAAATGTGACAGAATGGATCAAACTGCATCAAAATGTGACAAACTGTATCAAAATCTGACAAAATGTGACACACTGCATTCACTGCATTCACTGCATCAAAATGTGACCAAATGCGACAAAATGTATCAAAATGCATCTGCATGTGACAAAATGTATCAAAATGTGAGATGACAATATATGGCAAAATGTATCAACATGTATCAAAATGTGACACGCTGCATCAAAATGTGACAAAATGTATCAACATGTATCTGTGGTTCATGGAAGCCTCACGCACAAATCGAGAAGTCCATCACAGGGTTGTGCAGATTGGCCCCTGCAAACATGACGCACTCATCTCAAGATCTTTTGACTTTTGGCTCAAGAAAAATATCGCTTGGGCGGTGAACTTTTCCCCTTTTTCAACCTTAGGTTATGAGCCGAAGAGGTTGAATTCGGGCTATACAATCTTTTCGCAATGAATCGCCGCAGGGAATCCTCCAAAGCCAGACGGCAAGAATCTCCCGACCAGACGCTGGACAGGTTGATTGAGATAGAGCGACGCATGATGGTGGTGGGCCCGGAGGAGATGGTTGCCAGTGTCCTGGAGCGAATCCAAGCTCATTGGAAATGCTCCCCTCCTGAGTGGGTGCTGAGGAGAAGTGGGTCAAGTTTTGCGGGTTAGAAGTGACATGGCAAGCGGCCGGCTTGCTTCTTGGACAGCCGTGCTACGCAGCCTCTTTGTTGAAGACGCGCCCGGAAGTGCGAGGAACGCAGTTTCCTTTCCCCAAGGTGGAGCTCGTGGAGGAGCTGAACATCACGGCAGAGGAGGTCCATGCAGCTCAGTCGGTGGTTGGGGAGTTGCCCTGGTTGTCGGCAAGAACGCGACCAGATCTCAGCTTTGGAGTGTTGTGGATGGGAAGAAGGGTTACGAAGTCACCGAGGCAAGTGGTGAAGTTTGCGGGCCACATGCTGGGATACGTCAAGGAAACCCAACATCTGTGCCTGAGGTATCAGGGGTGTCAAGGAGACCATGGTCCTCTACAAGAGCTCCCACTGCCCAGGAAGACGACCGGGTGGAGATCCATGCGGATGCCAGTTTTGCACCAGAAGGAGGTAGGAGCCAGCATGGGACGGTTGGGCTGTATGGTGGTGGAGTGGTCGCATGGTCATCGGGCCTTCAGCCCTTAATTTGCTGCATTGTCCACTGCGGAGGCGGGACTCATTGGCTATGCGGAGGGGCATGGATATGGGGGAGGCGCTGACGGCGATGATCGATCCACTGGAGGACCATGCGATGTCAGAAGAGGGAGAGCGGGTCCTCTATGGTGATTCCGAGGCTGGCATCCAGATTTTGCTATGCCCAGATGGACCCTTCAGGAAACGCCACTTGAGACTCCTTGCCTTTGTCTTGAGGGAGCGAATCAAGAAGGAATGGTGGAAGGCCCGTCACCTACGTGGAGAAGTTCTTGTGCCAGACCCCTCACCAAGGCAAAGTCAGATGCAGAAAAGTGAATGGGAGAAGTTCTACCTCCTGGCTGGGATGGTGGTCCCAGATGAGGAGAAAAGGGCTCCCTACTTCAAGAAGATCAAGAGCCTGGTGGGTGTTATGGCTGGACTCGGAATGTGGAAACCAACTTCAGCTGAGCAGAGACGGAGGAGATCTTCGTGCATTGCTTCGTTGGCTGCAGGTCTTGCAGTTGTGGTGTCAAAACGGTGCAGGGTGGGAGGGGGTAAGAACGGACAAAAATGGTCAAGGGAAGATGAACCTGGACAGCCATCGACACTGAGGGCCCAACATGAAACCAGTGGAGGTGGAAGATCGCAAGAAGGGCCAATGGGAGATGAACCTGGCCAGTTCCCCAATCCAACCCCCGCACTTAGCCTAAATGGCTCCCGATATTGGGCGCGACCGCGTGGGAAGCCATGGGATCGAGGGAGCGACCAAACTGGCTGCAGTGCGCTTGGGCCCCAGGAGATTGTGGGAGTTGGAGGAGCTTCATCGCCCACCAAGTGCCATCCTCCACATCGATCAACACCTTTCCCTTTGGAGGCTCTGGGGCCAGAGAGAACAATGGTGGCGTTTGTCTTCACGACTGATGGCCGTGGAGGAAGGTGGGTCAGGAGCATTTATACGGACCGGTGGGCATCAGGTGTACCACAAGAGCTGGATGGCGGGGTGCTGGGGCAGTGGAAAGTTCAGGTTAGAACGTAAAATGATGCCTGGCGAGACCATGAGGCAGCAGGGCGAGAACATCACAAATCCGGCCGTGGACCCTAGGCCGCCATTGCCCAGGAGAAGAGCAGAGGATCTTCTCCACATGCGTCCTCCAGCTCCAAGATACCGTGGGTATCCCATCACTGTGGCAGCTGAAGGAACTACATCGTCCGCGAGCTCTATCGGCGATTCGAGATCGAGGAGCTCTATCCGCGATTCGAGATCAAGGAGCCTTATCAGCGAGGCAACCCATCGTGGAACGAGATCAAAGGTGGCATCCATGAGTGGAGGATTTAGAGAGGCTCGACAAGAAGAACTTCGGCAGGATGCATTGGCACGTGCTGGAGGAAACCTGGTGGACTCACCAACTGAACCACCGAGCTCACCTTTGCCACCGGGGTTGGACATGATGCGGCCGACGTGCAGAGGAGGGGCGTCGGGATCATCGGGAGCCAGAGGCCGGATTGCTGTTCAATCTCCAGTGGAACTGGGAATGAGGCCTTGGACAGCAGAGGATGTCGCGTACGGGTTCCAGCTGCTGGATGGAGATGGTGAGAAATTGAGGAGGGTGGTCGGATTCCCCAGCCAATTGTTGAAGCTGGCCGGTCAGTCCCTTCCCAGAATATAGTCCTGAAAATCAGGACGTTTGTGAATGAATGACTCAGCCTTACTTTTCAAGAGGCCACAAGGACCATCCACCGAGTGCCATGGGATGGCAGAGGGAGTGTGGTTCATGGAAGCCTCACGCACAAATCGAGAAGTGCATCACAGGGTTGTAAAGATTGGCCCCTGCAAGAATGACGTGCACTAATCTCAGGATCTTTTGGCTTTTGGCTCAAGAAAAAAATCGCTTTGGGCGGTTTGCATTTTCCTCCTTTTCAACCTTAGTATCAAAGCGTGACAAAATGTGACAACATGTGTCAAAATATATCGACATGTGACAAAGTGTATCAAAATGTGACAATTGCATCAAAATGTAAAACCCCCTAGCTGAGTTGAACACAGAGCTGGACGCCATCGGCTGGGACAAAACAATGCAATCCAGACCACCCTCAACAGGACAGCCAACTTTCCCATTGCGCTAAGAACGACCTTTCAATTTTCATTGAAACCCTGGTTTCTAGTGGCCCCAACAGGTCTCACTTTAGACCTACAACATGGAAAAAAAGTGACGGTGTGACAAAGTTCTGCACAAAGCGCCAATTACCAAAAGGTTCCTATCCCTTTGCAGAGGGTCATATGAGAGCGGTATTGAAGAAACCTCCTTATCTTTTCACAACACGCTTAGAATACACAAAAAAGATATGACCAAAATTCATAAACCGATTCTTGCTCCCATTATGTGTGGCTTCCGACTGCCACTAAGGTTTGCTTCTGATTTTTACCTACGAACTGATGTGCGTCGTTGCTTCAGAAGCATTGGAAACATCAAACTGGATGCCAAGTGACGTGCAAAGCGAGAAGAATTTCTCCCAGCGCCCGGCTTTCCAGGAATGACCAATGAAGAGATCCACGCGGTCAGTCTCCGTGCTTTTCGCAAAAATGTGTTCTCCCGCACCTTGAACCTCCGCAGGGTGCTTTGGATTGGCTGCTCAAAAAAAGATCTGTTGGTCGTGACAGTCACAAGGTTAACATGCTTCGACATGTTTCAACACATGCTGTCTGATGGCACAACGCCCAAACACCCCTTGGAATGAGACAGAACCGTCATGGCATATCCCCTGACATCCTATCTGGCAAATATTCCGGCAATCTATTTGAGATACACTTTGGCATTTTATCTGGCATTCTACCTGACACATGCTCTGTCATTCAATCTGGCATTGGCATTAAATCTGGCAAAGAAACCGGCACCCTATCTGACATATATTGGGCCATTCCATCTGACATATATTCTGGCAAAAGTTCTGGCATTCTACCTGGCATATATCCTAGCATTCTTTCCGGAATTCTACCTGACATACATCCTGGCATTCCATCTGGCATTCCATCTGACATAGGCGCAATTCTATTTGGCATTCTACCTGACCTATCTTCTGACAATCGTTCTGCCCTGAATCTTGCGGTGGAGGTCCAGCATCGGGAGCTTGCAGTTGAGATTGCAGTGGGCCGGCAGTGGAGGACGAAGAAGAGAATGAGGAGGAAAATGAGGAAGAGAATGAGGAGGAAGAGCAGAACAGCTCTGATAAAATCTAACACACCTCACCTGGCAGGTGGGGTTCATCCTTCCGGAATATTTTGGCTGATCTTGATACATGTTCTGTTGGAAAAATGTTTTAAACATGCTGAACATGTTCTCGCCATTTCTCGAAAACTTTCCAGAGAATTCGGAAATGCCGTTTATCGCTTGCCCATCAATTTTCCACGCCCCTTTCCTGCCTGTTCCCTGGTGGGACAGCGGGCTTTGCAGTTGCCAGCGGCCAACAGAGCCGACAAACTGTCTTGAAAAATGACTCCAAAGCCTCAGCATTGTGTAAATTATCCATCGGAGAATGAGAACGCACTTGAATACAAGGGTCTACAGCAGTCTGCCGTTCAATGACGTTCAGCGATGGATTGAAGTCACTTCCGACTCTTCGAAAGATGAAGCAATAGACAGTAAAGAGATAGATAGTGACGAGACGCGG